GAGAACTGGTGCCCACACGCCCGGAGGAAGGACACAACTGTCCCGTCTTCCTTGTGCTTCTGGTAGCGGAGCACGATGCGCTGGAGCCGGTCGGTGACAGTCTTGTATTTCTTCCTTTGGGGCTCTCGGATGGGGCGTTCATGTGTGTACCTCGGTCGAACGGAAGGGGGGCGACGAGCATTAGCAGTACGCCTTGGTCGCCTCACTTGGATGTACGTTTTTTCAAACGTGTCCGCGATGTCCAGGAGATCGTCCACGAGGACCTCGCGCAGCTCGTCGAACGCTGTCGGCAAGTCTTCCACCGGAACAAAGGCGAGGCTCAGCAGCATGTGGACCCCGTCCTTGAGCTCTCGGTTGTCCGGGTCGCTGTATGCTGCTTGCAGACCCGCTCCCTGGACATTTCTTTTTGCAACGAATAGTTAGGCTTCGTTTCTACAAAATGTATGCATAACAGTTAATAGTAACAGATTTACCTCCACAAGCTCTACCCCAGATGAAAGAAGCAGAGTGGAATCGTGGCATTGGGGAAGATGCTCTTCACAGAATTGATGATTGCCACCTCGAAGTCCGAAACTACTGTCTCTGGTTCCGGAAAGTTGATCTGCAGCTCGTCTGCCTTGTTCTTGATGGCCTCCAGGACCTTTGTGTGGGAGGTTTCTGCTTTGTTGGGCAGCAGCGCATAGACAAGAGGCAGGGCGACGTCCTCGACCAGGCCGTGAATCGTGAAGAGCTGAGTGAACAGCGAGGGGCACACCATGAACGTGCCGTCGGTGAACCAGGATGAGGAGCGACCCAGCTTCTTCAGGTTCTCCTTGGTTGCGAATACGATGATTGTGTCTTCAACATCGTCTTCGTCGTCGCTGCCATCTTGTTCTCCGTAGGAGTCATAAACGACGAACAGGTCCCCACTGAGTGTGTTCCTGAATTCGGGCGGTAAGTCTCTGAGGTCGCGGATGGACTTGGGGTTGGCGGGGAGTCGACTGCTGCGCGCCCGGTTAACGGCCCGCTTCATTGCCGGCCGGAGTGGGAGCTTGGCGACCACCCCGTCGCTGAGCCGGTGCATCTGCTGGTCTATGATGTGGACCGGAGCTCGCTCTGGCGCCTGCACCCCTGCGTCCTTGATGGCCTCGACGGCCGACCTCGCAGCAATGGCCTCTGGGTCCGGGGCGTGGCCATGCCCCCCCTCCTTCAGGATGCGCAGGGACTCTTCTGTGGTGGTGCACCGAGTGATGCACTCCGGCTTCCGGATGCACACCCAGTACACAGAAGTCTTCTTCTTGGAGTGCCTGCAGTACAGGTGCCCCTTGTTGACCAGTAGATTTTTGCCCCTCTTAGATTTTATGTAGTATGGCGCCATCTCGGCGGCCCGCGCCCTTCTGCACTCCCGCTTATTATCGAGGCACACAACAATGAGAGCCGTGTCTCGGCAAAGGGGGAGTAGGAAAAAAAATTGGGTGAATAGTGATGTATTTTGGATTTAATTGTTTTGGAACTGATATACTATTGGACGAAATATTTTTGGGCCTTACTATTTTTGGGAGAAGTGCATTGGGTGAAATGTCGAGGGGCAAATGTCATTGGGGTAAATGGTTTTGGGCGAAACGGATTGGGCGAAACGTACCGGAGCCGATGGCAGGGTGGCACTTTGTTGGGTCACAGAATCTCACTTTCCCACAAAATTGGCGCCGCACCGTGTTGGGCCTGGCCTTCCTCTGGAGAGATTTCCAGGAAGCTGGTTACAAATTTCTTCCAGTTGGAAAAATGAATGGCGACGTCATAGACAACTTTAACAGTAGAACAAGAGCTGCAGCTGCAGGTGGGTCCAGGAAAAATCCCGGCCCCCAGGACTACCCTGCATCCTTTGCTAGTTGCTTGATCAGGGATCTCACTGCGGTCAAAATAAAAGGAAAAACTGTCAGGATGACCATTCAAAAACCTTCATCCATTAAACCACCCTTCTTAAATTGGCAGAGCAACAAGGCAGTAATGAAACACCTAATCAAGAAACTGACCTTGCAATCCCTTCTCACCCCACCATCATGGAGGTAGAAGAGCCAGATGAAGAGCTGGACGATGTATATGAAGAGGAGGAAGACGAAACTGCCCCTGTGACTGTCACATCAGATGCAGATTTCGTGCG